CATACTAATAAGAAATTACATAAATGCGCACTTCTACAGGTTTGTTAACCAAAGATAACCAAACTTTAAAATTCGCTGGGATCACCTGCACCCCATGCGATTAATTAAGAGTTAAAAAAGATACCTCAAGACAGTTAAAATCTTAATTAGCTGTCTAGTGTTAGTTCCAGTTTTAGGTTAATAAAACTATACAACAGTCTAACGCTGAATAATAACTGAAACTAGAACTAACACTTGCATTAGAACTAACACTAGATCTGGAACTAGAAACATTCGGGTGTAGCCTTACGTCTCTTAAGACGGTTTCTTGTTCTAGGTCTAGTGTTAGTTCCACATTTCGTTCAATAAAAATATACAGCAATATAGTATAGACAACTCGGGGAATACCCCGAGGTTTATCTATGAACATGGAATAGAGCAACTTAAGGAATAACCCGAGATGGATGCTATCTATGTGCGCTAATAGTATGACTTAAAAATATTTTGTCTATTATATTCGAAGTCCATTCTAACGGGGTCCATTATATCGATGTTTTATTTTTTATACTTTATGCTGGTTATATCTATTCTATATTTTCAATTAAAAAATCATCCTATACAATTTTTTTGTTAATAAAACAAAAACTGGTTTTAATTATTTTGTCATAAACACTTCTAATAATCGCTATTACTTTCATTCGTGGTATAACCTTGTTACAAAAATAAACGGTTTAAAATGTTTCTCTCTGCTGTAGGATTGTTTTTTTTAATCCTTCTTTTAGGGTCGGTTTTTGCGAAAATTTGTTGTAAACTTACCATGGGTTGGTGTAAAAGCAACACGTGTTTAATTGGTAAAACCGTAATTATAACTGGTGGAAGTTCAGGTTTGTTAAAAATAAATTTCAATTTATTAATTAAAACTTCAAATTAATTGAATATTTTTTTAAATTACTTTAGGGTTGGGTTATCAAACTTCGTTGGCTTTAGCAGGACGTGGAGCTAGGATTATAATTGGGGATGTGGTTGATACAAAAGAAGCCGTTCGAAAAATAACCGAGATAACTCAAAATACAAACGTAGTCGGGAAATTTTTGGATTTATCTTCTTTAGATTCAGTGCGAAAATTTTGCGATGAAATTAATAAAGAAGAAAATAGATTAGATATTTTAATAAATAATGCTGGTGTGATTGGGTTACCTTTACAATATACAAAAGATGGTTTACAAATACAGATGGAAATTAATTACTTTGGGCATTTTTTACTTACACATCTTTTAATAAGTAAAAATGTTTTTTGATTAAATAATTTTTAATTATTATTTTTTTAGATTTACTTAAAAAAACGAAAAGTAGAATAATTTTTATAAGCTCAATAACTGCATTTTTTAACGAATTAACACTTCAAAATTTAAATAACCCAAAAATATACAATTTCGACCTTAAAACTTATTTTAAAATATACAGCAACAGTAAATTATGTGATTTAATAGCATCGAATGTTTTTGCTGAGAAATTAAAAAACACTTCGATAACTTCAAACGCCGTTTATCCTGGAGTGGTTGTTACTCCGATTTACTTTAAAATAGTGGATAAAAATTACATGAAATGGGTGAAAAAGTTATGTTTAATAGGATTCAAAATCATTGGAAAGGTTCGTTAAGGTTAAATATCATTGCTTAAAAAACAAAACGTAATTCATTTTTAGACACCGTATGAAGGAGCTCAAACTCAAATTAATTGTGCTTTAGATAGAGATTTAGAAAATGTTCGGGGGGAATATTTCGTGGATTGCATACCATTTTATCAGCCCAAATTGGCAAAAGATAAACAGTTTTGTAGGAAAATTTGGGAAAAAACGGAAGAATTGGTTAAATTAAAACCAGAAGAGAAATTAATGGTGTAATTATTTTTAAGATTTTATTATAATTTGGTGAATTAAAAATTAGTTACAGTTGTTTAAGAAGGGTCAATTATTCTTTGATGTTCCAATTTAATAATTTTTCATAACCTCTACAGACATTGTTCTTTATACATTCTCTACGTTGATGCATCTGAGAACAAAAGTGCTACAAAGCAATGAGTTAAGGGTAAAATGTACACAAGAGAAAGATACCGAAGTAGTTGATTATGACTGTTCAAAATTAGATCGTGGTATGATTTTCTCAATTTTTTTAACACAGGGAGATTTAAGCTGTTCTCTAAATTTCTTCCAGTATGACTTTCAAGTACGTGATGGCTGTTTTACTGCCACTGAACGGAACGTTATCTGCCTAGCATACGAAAATATTCTCAGACAATTCCAGATGCTTATAGACCAGAGTAGTTGATCATAGAATAATTCGACAGCTTTCTATGGTTCTCAAACCTTCAGCAGTGAAATTAGTTAAACTTCTACTTGTAGTTTTTTTCTTTGTCCAGTATCTTCATCCTGACATTGTGAATGTTATTAGATTCATCCTGGATATCTAGTTCTTCTGATGCTAGATACTTCCACTCCAAAATAAGTGCACTTTATATTTTGTGTGACTGGTTATCATACACTGCCAATTTACATATAATGGAATCCTTTCTTATTTTCTAGTGCATTGATTCTATTTTGGTTACTGATATTAACATGTTAAATTTTTCAGATCTTGTTTGGCATTTAAATAGCTGATTATGGCATCGTCAGTGTAATGCTTCCATCTCTTTAACACTACATATGACTATTATGATTTTCTCCGTTAAAATATTAAAGAGAGCTGGACTCAGACTGTCTGCCTGACGGATTCCTGTTAGTACAGGTACTTTTCTCTTTTGAGTTCATTATGTGTTCTAATTTGTGTTGTTTTTGTTCTGTTCTTCTATAATCGTAATGTATGTAGTTAGGGCTCAAGTTTTCAAAAGCCTTTTTAAGTTCTACTAAGCAGATGTACAAGTGTTTTATTGTACTCCATCGACAACTCAATTAATTGTCGTAGTATGTGTATCATATTTAGGGTCGATTAATTTTTTCTGAGCCCTTACTGTTCTTCACTTATTTTAATTATGGGCATTATTTTGCTAGTTATAATTATCGTTAGTAGCTTGCATGTAGTACTTATTAAAGTTATAGTGCTGCTATATTGTCAGGGCCATTTCTATTTTCCCTCTTAAAGATTGGTACCATTCATCGACACTTGCTTTCTATTCGTCGGGGATTTCTCATTCCAGTTCTAGACCTTAATATCTTATTGTTGTATTTGAGATATCTAATCGGATATATCCGGGGTTTTGCTATTTTTTTATTCTTTTATTGCCTTATGATGTACATTTATTTCCTTCGTCAATACCTTTACTTCTTCTGTGAACCATTGCTTTTATTTTTCTTTCCATTCACATTAACTTTTTTGATTCCAGGTGCTTCATTTACACTTTTCGTTTTCGAAATCTTTGTCCAGGTTTTATTCAATTATCTTCAAATACTCTATTTACAAAAAAAATGGACGGTCAATGTAGGAGAATTCCTTCTCAACGTGCTTAGTCGAAGGCATTTCTGATACCAAGGATAATAAATATAAATATAAAATAATGGTTAACACCCTCAATGAAGGGACGCGACATTCCGATAGTTCGTCGTTTTAATAACCTTCCTAGTCGGAAACCGCATTGTTTGTAGATTGTGTAAAGCTCTAGCAACTACACTATCTTTAGTTAATCTGTTCGATAGAACCTTCTGAAATAATTACCTGGATGTACATAGTGCAAAGAAAGCTTATTGCATTCTAAGAGTGTGGAATTGGGAGCTGTAAAGCCGAGCAACTTTATTATCAATTAACCTCAAGCATCATCATCATAGTACTCACGATTGCAAAAGGCATCATATTGCGCTCCAGCGTAAGCAATTTCAATCACAGCTATTCTCCAAACAGCTTACCACCCAGAAAAATATTTAGATAAAAACGTGGCGACTTCTCAGAACTGAAACGACGTTTCTGATCAATACAAATCGTCGCAGTAAAAGACAACGAAGTAAAATGAGATGAAAACACTACTTCTATTCCGAATGCGAACAGGTCGGATAGTCCCGTTTTATATTTTAAAAAGTTTAAAGTTGGACGATTTTCACATTTCATATTTCAAACGTTTAAAAAATATTACAAATGTTTATTCAGCTTATTCAACATTCCGAACTAAAAGAATCATCCAACAAATTCTTACAAAATAAAGTTTCTCTAAATCTATGTCAAGTTATTCTCTTGCTTGATTGATTGATTTTTAAATGTAGGTAGCCACCTTAAAGAAAGTCTTAATACCTATTGATGTCCGTATTCTTAACAGATTCAATTTCATAGTAAACATCTTCTTTGAAGATGTTTCTTTAACAATTTATTGTTTGAACAAATAAAATATTACTGTTTCAGAATAATAATAGGAATTTCTCAGAATAAGCTTGATATTAATACAAATCTTTAGTTTTGAAGTTATGTGTTCACAGTAAGTTATAACATTATAATTACAATTTTATTACTATTAAGTAAACTTTAATATCCATTCTACAATTTATTGCGACGGCAATTTGTGCCAATAAATAGCTTTTAATTTTTTTTGCTAGTACACTGAAAGCCACTTCAATTTCTACAAAAACAGGTTATCTAATTATTATAAACGCAATCAATAATTATGTATAGTATGAAGAAAAAGTAATTGGGTATTATAAATTTGACATCCTCTATTTTTACTCTCTCACATACACTAATTACATATACTGGTACTAGAAAAAATTCAAAAGAAAAATCGAATAATGAATAATAATTATTTGATTTTATAATTTACATTAAATGTCACGCAATGAATTAATTTATAGTTTAATTATTAATTAACTGGTCTTTAATTGAACGAAAAAACATAAGTCTTACTAGTTTCGGTTATGTGCCATCTTCAGAGACTACTTTTAAATGTCGTTAAGTAGATTAAGTAGTGTAGAACGTCATAAGCTTTTAAAATGTAAACGTGTTCGATAAATAATTTTATTTTATTTTTATAAATTCAAAAAATTTTATTATTATACAAAAAAATGATCTCTTTAAAAATTCGAAATATCTTAAACAATAAAATATCGAAACACATTAAATCTCCCTGAGTTAAAAAGTGGAGAAAAGCAGCCCACGATCTAATTTTGAACAGTCATAATCAACTAATTTCGGTTTCTTTCTCTTGTGTATAAAGAACAATGTCTGCAGAGGTTACGAAGAATTACTAAACTGGAACATCAAAGAATAATTAACTCTTCTTAAACAATTGTAACCCATTTTTAATTCAACAATTACCAAATTATAATAAAATCTAAATAATAATTACATCATTAATTTTTCTTCTGGTTTCATTTTAACTAATTCTTCAGTTTTTTCCCAAATTTTTCTACAAAACTCCTTATCTTTAGCCAATTTGGGCTGATAAAATGGTACGCAGTCCACAAAATATTCCCCACTAACGTTTTCTAATTCTTTCGCTAAAGCACAATTAATTTGAGTTTGTGCGCCTTCTTGCGCTGTCTAAAAATTGAATATAATCACATTTAATAACAAGAATAAATCAAGATTCTCACCTTTCCGAAAATATTTAGGCCTAAATAAAACATTTGTTTTGCGAATTTCATATAATTCGTGCCTAATACATTCGAAAAAATTGGAGTACACACAATTCCGGGATGAACAGCATTTGAGGTGATCGAAGTATTTTTTAATTTTTCAGCAAATATATTCGATGCTATTATCTGACATAATTTACTGTTGCTATAAATTTTATTAATAGTTTTAAATTCGTTGTTGTATATTGGGGGATTGTTTAAATTTTCTAGTGTTAAATTATTAAGAAATGCACCTATTGAGCTAACAAAAATTATTCTACTTTTATTTTTTTTAAGTAAATCTGAAATAAGGAGCATCAATATCAATTTATTCTTATTAATGAAAAAATGATTGTTTGATTACTTATTAAAAGATGAGTAAGTAAAAAGTGTCCAAAATAATTAATTTCCATTTGAACTTGCAACCCATCTTTCGTATATCCGTTAGGTAAACTACCCACTCCCGCATTATTAATTAATACATCCAATCTGTTTTCATCTTTGTTGATTTCATCGCAAAATTTTCTAACTGAATCCAAAGATGATAAATCCAAAAATTTTCCTACTACGTTTGTATTTTGAGTTATCTCGATTATATTTTGAAGGGCTTCTTTTGTATCAACAACATCCCCAATTATAACCCTAGCTCCACGTCCTGCTAAAGCTAAAGCGGTTTGAAAACCTAACCCTAAATTAATTTAAAAATTATTAAATTACGGCAAAGTTATAAATTCAATTTTAACAAACCTGAAGTTCCACCAGTTATGATAACGGTTTTTCCAATTAAGCACGTGTTGCTTTTACACCACCCCATGGTTAATATACAAAAAGTTTTCGTGAAAATAGACCACAAAAGGAATATTATTAAGAAACAACCTAACACAGAGAGAACCATTTTAAAGTTGTGGCTTAACTGGTTGAGGTTGCACTTCGATTGAATTATAAATAGAGATAGATGATAAATACGAAAACAGTCGGTATTGAACTTAAGTAATTAGTGACCTAACAAAAGTTATAAGCAATAGAATCGTATACAGGTATACACGTTTTTTTTAATTAAACTTCAAATAATTACCTATGAAGTAGAAATTTATAAACACAAATTTATTGTTAAATAATTAATTTAAATACGAAGGCTTTCACGGCCGGTGTGAATTGAACAAAAATTAGAACTAACACTAATAGAAACTGTCGGGTTTTGCCGTTCGTCTTTTAAGCAAAGATTTGACGTTTCGTTTTAAGTAAACTTACTTATAGAATTATAATCGAAATCCATTTTACCAGTGTTTGTAATAAGAGAAAAAAATATGTAAAGTTTTTTATGCTTTTTAACTGGTCTTTAATTGAACGAAAAACATGAGTCTTACTAGTTTCGGCTATGTGCCATCTTCAGAGACTAGTTTTTAATGTCGTTAAGTAGATTAAGAAGTAGTTTAGAACGTTCTAAGCTTTTAAAATATAAACGTGTTCGATAAATAATTTTATATCTTAATCTACTTAACGACACTTAAAACTAGTCTCTGAAGATGATACATAGCCGAAACTGGTAAGACTCATGTTTTCTCGTTCAATTAAAGACCAGTTAAAAAGTATAAAAACTTTACATATCTTTTTCTCTTATTACAAACACTGGTAAAATGGATTTTGATTATAATCCTTTAAGTAATTTACTTGAGATATTTGAACTTGTATATAAGATGGTTTCTTTAACTTCACCTAAGTGAAAACATATCTCAATAACTAATTGAGATATCAACACGAAATAAACTTCATTTTAAAACAAATTTAATTAACTATTAATGAATTAAAAATAATTTCTTTATTTCTACAAATATTGACGAAGTGATTTTTTATTCATCTGTGTGTATCCACTTATGATATGTATATGAATACCAATTTTGAAAAAATTAATTAAATGAAAACCATTTTATAGTAAATTTAAATAAGAATTAATGCATTTAAAATACTTTCTTTATTTCTGCAAATTATAATTATCAAATTGTATTCATACTAGTTATTTAATAGTATAATAATAAACAATTAATTATTTAACAATAAATTTGTGTTTATAAATTTCCACTGTGTAGTCATTTGAAGTTTAATTTACTTTAATAAAAAAAACTGCCTGTTTACGATTCTGTTGTTTATAACCTTGATTAACTCAATAATTACTGGATTTCAATACCGACATAAATATGTAAACATTTTATCATCTATTTCTATTTATGAGTCGATCGAAGTTCAACCTCAATCAGTTAAGCTAGGACTTTAAAATGGTTCTCTCTGCGTTAAGTTGTTTCTTAATAATATTCCTTTTGTGGTCGATTTTCACGAAAATTTTTTGTAAATTGACCATGGGGTGGTGTAAAAGCAACACGTGCTTAATTGGAAAAACCGTTATCATAACTGGTGGAACTTCAGGTTTGTTAAAATTGAATTTATAACTCGGGCGTAATTTAATAATTTTTAAATTAATTTAGGGTTGGGTTTTCAAACCGCTTTAGCTTTAGCAGGACGTGGAGCTAGGGTTATAATTGGGGATGTTGTTGATACAAAAGAAGCCATTCAAAATATAATCGAGATAACTCAAAATACAAACGTGGTAGGAAAATTTTTAGATTTGTCGTCTTTGGATTCAGTTAGAAAATTTTGCGACGAAATTAACAAAGATGAAAACAGGTTGGATGTATTAATTAATAACGCGGGAGTGGGTAGTTTACCTAACCGATATACAAAAGATGGTTTGCAAGTTCAAATGGAAATTAATTATTTTGGACACTTTTTACTTACTCATCTTTTAATAAGTAATCAAACAATCATTTTTCATTAATAAGAATAAATTGATATTGATGTTTCTTATTTCAGATTTACTTAAAAAAAATAAAAGTAGAATAATTTTTGTTAGCTCAATAGGTGCATTTCTTAATAATTTAACACTAGAAAATTTAAACAATCCCGCCATATACAACAACGAATTTAAAACAATTGCTAAAATTTATGGCAACACTAAACTATGTCAGATAATAGCATCGAATATATTTGCTGAAAAATTAAAAAATACTTCGATCACGTCAAATGCTGTTCATCCCGGAATTGTATGTACTCCGATTTATTCGAATGTATTGGGCACGAATTATATGAAATTCGCAAAACAAATGTTTTATTTAGGTCTGAATATTTTCGGAAAGGTGAGAATCTTGATTTATTTTTATTATTAAATGTGATTGTATTCAATTTTTAGACAGCGCAAGAAGGTGCACAAACTCAAATTAATTGTGCTTTAGCGAAAGAATTAGAAAACGTTAGTGGGGAATATTTTGTGGACTGCATACCATTTTATCAGCCCAAATTGGCTAAAAATAAGGAGTTTTGTAGAAAAATTTGGGAAAAATCTGAAGAATTAGTTAAATTGAAACCAGAAGAAAAATTAATTGTGTAGATATTTCAAATTTTGAACTGTGAGGAAATAAATAAAATTTTCTTAAAGGTACAAAATCCAAAATTATGTTTATTATTGGATCTAAAATATTACGATTCCACACTGTTGCTAACACAACGTTAATTACATGATAAGGCAAACGATCTTCACATGCTTCTCTTATCGTTTCCCAACATTCCTAAGTAGAGAAGCGTGAAATATAAAATTTAGTAGGATCGTTGTAGTTCAGAAATACTCTTTCATCTACTTTCGTGTTTCGGCATAAATTCGTTTACTGCTACTATACCTTTACGTAACTCAAATGACTATTTCACTCAATCTATCGGTTAAGGACATGTAGCATCTATAACTGAATAACCACTAAAAGAAATACGGATGGATTATTTTATTATAACTAACAATACTTTTGTTAGTTTTAATTTAGTAATTCGTGTTTCTTTAGATAAGAGTATTATTAACCTGATGATGGGAACATTTCCCGAAACGTCGTTATAATTGGAGTTTTAGAAATAAAGGAGGGAATGATGTCACAATTTTTATAATAAAATATATCAAAGCCTCCATAAACTAAAAATTACGGATGGATTATAATAATTTAATAATAATATTAGTAACATTATTAGACGTTACTTGATATTAATTGTGATTACCCAGAAATTGCTATGAAGTCAAAAGCCCAACTTCATCAAAAAAATCATCAAAAGTTATATCCCCATTTAATTAATGTTAAAACAAAATTCATTACCAACTGATGGCAATGAACAACAAATCTTCACCACTTCTTTATCATCATACCCAACTCAATTTTTTAGCGATATGTGATCATAAAAAGGCTAAAAATATTGTTGTCACTGAACCAAATACTTTCATAATCGCTGTTTATAATTAGAAAATACTGGAAAATATTCTATCTTGGGAACCTTTAATGTAGTATGACGAATGTAGTACGTGTTAACCAGATTCTGGACGATATGGTGTTAATTGCAGCACCTAGGTCACAAACGATCTTGGGTAAACTTAGTGCAAAGACTTTATACAGCATGCGTTACCAGATTTCGCTCGATATGCCAATAATTGCACTGCCTCAGACGAAAGCAATCTGGGCTAAACTTGGGTGAACGTTGTACAACATGTATTAACCTGACTTGACAGTATGGGATAACCTTAGTCATAAAACACCTTGGAAGGTTTGGTTCGAAATGATATTAATTACAGCTATTTTTGCTTTTGATCACTGCATCATTATCAGCAGCCAAAAATCCAAACTCTGTTCCTCTCAAAAAATGTTTGACGAAACCAGACAACACTGGAAAACAAAAAATCAGAACAACCAAAGACATCAAGAATGAACGGAATCTTTCACATCAGAAGCGCCCAAGTGTTTTAAATGTCCATAGATTAGAGGTTATCTCAAATCTAAAGTTTACACAAATAAACCGAATTCTCTGGCTGTATTAATGTTTTCTTCCACCATTAACGATGTTTCTCTATGATATCGAAAGAAAAGTTTTCTGTATATCGAAACAGAAAATGTATTGACTTTTACTTATAAGTGGTACTTTACTCTGAAGATGTAGCTGTATTTTAAAGTAGCTATACTCTTTAAAAAGTTAAGTTTCATCATCCTGGACGTTTTTCAAATGTTATTAATGTATCAGTGCTACACAAAAATGAGAGAATGTTGAGCGTAGACCATTTCAGTCAATTAATTTAAACTCCTTGTAATAATTAGGCTTTGCTTCATACATCGTTTTTCATATACGTACCCATTTGCCTTTGTTTGCTTTTTAATCTATCACTTTTATATAAATGTTTCACTTTAATTTTCTGCCATGATTTCTGTTTGTTCGCTGTATTCTAGAACTTAATAAATGATCGATTTTTTTCAAATAATCTTATTATACAAGGAGAAATAATTTTCACTCCACAGCATTCGATTATTTCTTCTATGTACTTGGTTTTGTTGAAAATAAAGAAATTTTTCACGGCTTCACTTATGAAATTTTCATGTTCTTTATTATCTATTTTTAGTCTCTTGTAGTTTAAAAACTAGATATTTTCAAAAATGTCGAAAAAGAAATCATTCAGTTGATTATAAAAGTTATTTACATAGTTTAAAACTCCTTGTACAGATAAATAAAAAAAAATATTAAGATAAATTCTTATCTCTTTTAACATATCGTTAAAGACGAAACGAAGTGATTTCATTTCAAAAATAAATCGAGTACACAAGAACAAAAAATACTTCAAATATAACAATGTTGTTTTTATCATTAATTGCCATATTAGTGGTAATAGCACTAATTTTATACATTTATTGTCAATTAACGATGGGTTGGTGTAAAAGTAATACTTGTTTAGTTGGAAAAACTGTTCTTATAACGGGAGGTAATTCAGGTAAGAAGAAGAAAGTGTTAGATTAAAATCATTAAAAATTTAAAACAATTTTTATTTGAAACATAGGAATGGGATTTCAAACAGCTATGGCTCTAGCCGGTCGTGGTGCTAAAGTTATAATAGCTGATGTGGCAGATACAACAAAATCAGTACAAGAAATAATAAAAGAAACTCATAATGAGAAAGTGATCGGAAAATTTTTAGATTTATCTTCATTGGATTCTGTAAGAAGATTTTGTTGTGAAATCAATAATGAAGAGAGTCGGTTAGACATTTTAATAAATAACGCTGGAATGGCTGCTTTGCCATTTGCTTATACCAATGATGGTTTGCAACAGCTTATGCAAACAAATTATTTTGGACATTTTTTACTTACACATTTACTTATTGGTAAAAGAATAATTGCAAAAAAATTAATTAACCTACTATTTACTTCTAGGTTTAATGAAAAGAACTAAAAGTAAAATTATATTTGTAAATTCTTTAGCTGCCTTTAGTAGCGATTTAACGTACGATAACTTCAATAAACCAACTAAATATAATTTGGATTTCAAAACTCATTATAAAATATACAGCAATAGTAAATTATGCGGATTAATTGCTTCTAATATTTTTGCTGAAAAACTTAAAAATACCTCAATTACATCGAACGCTCTTCATCCCGGAATCGTTGTAACACCGATTTTAACCAATGCAGTAAATCCTGAGTATCATAAATGGTTTAAAAACTTTTTATATGCTGTTGCAAAAATTACTGGAAAGGTAAACCTAAAATTAAAGTTTAAAGAAAATATTTTTTATTATATTTTTATCAGACCCCATTTGAAGGTGCTCAAACACAAATAAACTGTGCGTTATCAAAAGATTTGGATAACGTTAGTGGGAAATACTTTGTCGATTGCAAACCATTCTTTCAACCATATCAAACAAAAAATAAGGAATTTTGTAAACAAATTTGGAAAATGAGTGAAGAATTTGTGAAATTAAAAAATGAAGAGAAACTTGAGAATATTTTAAAATAAATTATCGCTCGAAATATATAAACCTAGAACTAGAAATATTCGGGTTTAACCGTCTTAAAAGACGTATGGGTAAACCCGAATGTTTCTAGTTCTAGATCTAGTGTTAATTCCACTTTTAGTTCAATAAAAATATACAAGAATCTAACGCAGAATAACAAATAAAACAAGAACTACCACCTTTGATTTATACATCGTATAGACAACTCGGGGTATTTCCCGAATTTATCTGCATATAAACATGAAAGAAATATTTTGTCCGTTCTAACGAGATCCGTTATATCGAGGTTTGACTAATGTATCTAAATTTTGGAATGTTACGCCACTCAACGTTGATATTAAAAATAAAATGGATTACGACATAAATGTGGAACAAATTCTAAAATAAAATAAATTTTTAATGTGTGATTAATAATCTTATCTTCAATACAATGATGAAGCACATTTCAACTTTGTTTGTTACTAACGTTCTTCCCGATAACACTTTTTAATTATATCGTGTATTAAAACTTTATACATCCAATAGTTTAAACAACAACAGTTACACTTCTCTAGAAAATCTCTTTCGATCTCCAAGAAATTTAAGTTAAAACTAAAATTAAAATGGTTGTTTGTGTATTAGGAACAATTGTTTTATTATTCCTTTTAATGATGGCTTTTTTAAAAATAACTTCTAAGCTTACGATGGGTTGGTGTACAAGTAACACTTGCTTGGAAGGAAAAACTGTTGTTATTACGGGTGGAAATTCAGGTTGGTAAATAATTTTTATTTGATTATATTTTAAAACGATTTGTTTTGATGCTGATTAGGAATGGGTTTTCAAACCGCAATGAGTTTAGCCGGACGTGGTGCTAAAGTTATAATTGGAGATGTCGTTAATACCGATGATTCAGTAAAAAAAATTATTTTAGAAACTAACAATGTTAATGTACGAGGAAAGCATTTAGATTTAGCTTCTTTAGATTCTGTCAGAAAGTTTTGCAAAGAAATTTACGAGGAAGAAGATCGATTGGATATTTTAATTAATAATGCGGGTGTAGGTGGAGTTCCTTTAGTGCATACTAAAGATGGAATTCAAAATCATATGCAAATTAATTATTTTGGGCACTTTTTATTGACTCATTTATTAATTGGTGAAGCTTCTTTTAAATTATTTTTATAATTAAGATTAATTATTTATCTTTTTAGATTTACTTAAACGAACGAAAAGCAGAATTATTTTTATTAGCTCGATTTTAGCATTTGTACACAATTTAAGCTTAAAAACCCTCAATAGCCCAACCATTTTTAAACGAGAAATCGCAACACATTTAATAATTTACGGAAATAGCAAACTATGCGAATTAATTGCTTCGAACATTTTCGCAGAAAAATTAAAAAATACTTCCATCACATCAAACGCGGTTTATCCAGGCATCGTAAATACCCCAATGATTTACAACACAGGAGGGGCAGATGCATTTAAATACTTAAAAATTTTCGGGAACTTTGTTTTAAACGTAGCAGGCAAAGTAAGTTAGTTTTGAATTCGGCGATTTTTTTGTAATTTGTTTTTTTAAGACGCCTTATGAAGGAGCACAAACTCAAATAAACTGTGCGTTATCTCGCGATTTAGATGGAGTTAGTGGAGAGTTTTTTGCCGATTGTAAACTGTTTTATCAACCGAGATTAGCTCGAAATAAAGAGTTTTGTAAACAGATTTGGGATGAGAGTGAAAAATTGGTTAAATTAAAACCAGAAGAAAAGATCGAAAATGTTTTAAAGGGATGAAATAAAACAACGAAAAAGATCTATATTAATATATTGAGTTATATTTTCTCTCTATAAAATGATTTCGAATAAATAGAGTTATTATTAATATAATTAAGTTAATTTTAGGAATTAAGATATGGTTGTAACATAATATTGGTTGGATAAAATAGAAATTCATTTAAAAACTCAAAGTTTTTATTAAAAATCCATTAAAATTAATCCAAACACGATAAAATTATCTAAAATTATCGTGCATACTTTATCCTCTTAAAACATTTTCGATTTTCTCTTCCGGTTTTAACTTAACTAATCGTTCACTTTCATCCCAAAGCTGTTTGCAAAATTCCTTATCCCGAGCTAATCTCGGTTGATAAAACGGTTTACAATCGACGAAATACTTTCCACTAACTCCATCTAAATCACGAGATAATGCACAGTTTATTTGAGTTTGTGCTCCTTCATAAGGCGTCTTAAACAAAAAAAAATTACGAAAATTCAATTTTTCGATAATAACTTACTTTTCCGCCGACGAATAAACAAAACTTAGCAAACATTTTTGAGTATTTGAATGCATCAACTCCTCCTGTGTTATGAATAATTGGTGTGTTTACTGTTCCTGGATAAACCGCGTTTGATGTGATTGTAGTATTCTTTAATTTTTCCGCAAAAATATTCGAAGCAATCAATTCGCAAAGTTTGCTGTTTCCGTAAATTGTGAAATGTGTTTTGAGGTCTTGTTTAAAAACTGTTGGGTTGTTGAGGGTTTCTAAACTTAAGTTGTGTTTAAATGCTGCTATCGAGCTAACAAATATGATTCTGCTTTTGTTACGTTTAAGTAACCCTTAAAATGCATGTACATAAAAATTTAAATAGAAGGAGAATTAAAAATATTTTACCAATTAATAAATGAGTCAATAAGAAATGCCCAAAATAATTAATTTGCATATGAATTTGAATTCCATCACTAGTGTGTCCTAAAGGAGCACCACCCACTCCCGCATTATTAATTAAAATATCTAATCGATCCTCTTCCTCGTAAATTTCTTTACAAAACTTTCTGACTGAATCTAAAGAACCTAAATCTAAATGTTTTCCTCGCACATTAGGATTGTTTGTTTCTGAAATTATTTGTTTCACTGAATCATCGGAATTAACAACATCTCCAATTATAACTTTAGCACCACGTCCGGCTAAAGCCATTGCTGTTTGAAAACCTATCCCTAATGAAAAAGGTTAAACAAATTAGTACAACAAATAATCAACTAAAAAATATTTACCAACCTGAATTTCCACCTGTAATAATAACGGTTTTTCCTACTAAACAAGTATTACTTTTACACCAACCCATGGTAAGCTTGGAAATAACTTTAAAGAAACCCAATGTTAACAGGAATATTAAAATAATTGTTCCTAATGTACAAACAACCATTTTTAAAATAAATATTTGTTGAAAATTTGCGACGGAGTTTGAAAATGAAACTGTTGTTGTTTAAACTCTTTGACGTCTAAATACTACATTGATACATTGTATAATTAAATGTTATCAGTACAAAATTATACAAAATATGCCATATCATCGTATTGAAGATTAGATTGTATATAATTGGTAAATGTTTATTTAATTTTAAGATTATATTGTTTCAAATATTTGATATAATAATAAACTTGAAAAACTATATTAGTATTATATAGAATTGTAACTACAAGGTGTAAAATAAAAATAGGATAAATTACCGAATTAAAAAAATTTATTATCAGTTATCAATGGATATGGTATGGTGCAAAACGAACAAAATTCCGTAAATTCTTGAATAAGTCTTTTATAGTAACCCACAAAAATGGTTAAGTCATGGTTCGTCACAAACGTTGAAGTGAAGAATGTGTTCCCAAAAGTTGTCTTCTAGGATTTCAAACACTCTGTTATTTCAAAGGAGTTGTGCTTAGATCTGTATGAACCAAGTCTTTTCGAAACCTAGATCATTTTGAATGAATCAAAATACTCTAGATTACTACAATACTCTACAATATGTGTGATCTAATATTTTCAGGATCATTGCCTCTTCCAAAATTTTATAAGTTTATATGAATTATGATTTATCCAAAAATACCATTGATCAAGCTACAAATTAAAAATTTATATGGTTGCTCTTGACATATTCCCAAACAGAATGTCAATAGTTATATAGATCTATCCTATCCAATTTGTTCAAAAATACAATTACCATGATAGCATAATCAATTACAAAGAAAACGAAAATTTTAAACATACAAAGTGACACAACAGTGTGGAAACTTCAACTTTTGCATGTATTTCCTGTTTTACGATACTATTAGTTATTTTGAATTTCTAAATACAACACTGTGATTAAGACTTTTTTTTTTGTTGATGCTGATTTATATGAAAATTAACGACCTCTAATTTCTTTATTTCTAAGCAGCACTTTTACATATCAACTTCACAATTCTTTAACTGAGTTCTCATTACTTTCCATTCCTTTTCGTAGCCATCAACAATTGCCCTCGGTTAAAATAGTCTTTTGATGGTAGAAATCCGCATTTCCGACATTCAAAAGGTTGGTTCTTATCTCAAGTAAACATTTGTTCGTTCTTATTTGGAGCTAGAAATCCAGTCGGCAGAATCGCGTAGACATTTATATAACCGTACGTAGTTAATTAGCGAATTATGAGATCGGGCATTTTCATTAATGACGCAATATTTTGGCGTTTTGACGAAATTCGAAAGAGATTTCAAATCGGGTATTTCCATTAATGAATGGTAATCGGCTAAGAAATTTTATTTGTTATAATCAAAACACTATACGTGTAAAATCCTATCTAATTAGGGGCTAACTTCGCATGGACAAATAACTTACTTTTAGGAATGTTTCAAGACCAAAAAAAGATTCAATTCCAAAAGATAGATACATATCAATAATCTCATCATTTGTAGGTCAAATAAAAAGAAGTATTTACAGTTGTTATTTAAGCTGCGACGAATACTTCTAAAGGTTTATCATTGAATTTGAAGTATATGAGTGCAATTTCATTTTTACACTATATTCGTTTAGTGTAAAAGAATTAGTCTCTATATTAGTAAAGTGCATCTTGTGCTCTTTATTACTAATCACAAAAGAAATATCAAATTAGTAGATATTACTTTTAAACTGACACTAGTAAAATGGTAAAAGTTCTTCAATTGTGAACGAAATAATCCAATTTTGAACACTCTGTATCTCTAAAACCAGCTACGTTGGTATAACATATCTTTTCTAGATTCTTTAGTTTTAAGATATTACGTCCTTTTTGACTGACCCTATAAAATGTGTAATTTCAATTTTTACATGAATACAGAGTTTGACATCATCGTCATTGTTGACCTGATTTTTAACTGATTCCTATGGTTACTAGTAATAATTAAAAATATAATGGTTGTAGATTTTAGTTATTTATTAATGTCTTAATATAAAATGTAGCCAACCGTTGCGTATGATATATATAACGTTGTGCAATCAAGTATGGAATATGCCAAAACAGCTGTAACATTTTAAAATAGTTAAAAAAGGTTTTCTTTTCTATTTGTAATTGTTTAAATAAAGAATGGAAACTATCAAATTGCTGTCTTTTAAGTCTAGTACCATGTTTTTACGTTTATTTGAGGACAACAAAGCTTACTTACCCAACAACCAAAGCCAACCCATCTGTAATGAAATACTAATCGAATACCAATAGTTGACCCAATCTAATGTTTTAAAACAAGTGAAGCAGAAGATATATCACAACAACCTCGTCTTCTATTTCTCGCAACAGATACAAGAAGTCAAACGATCAACTTATTTTCCCAGATGTGGTTCATCTTCATCAAATATAGTTAATTAACGCTTACTATTCATTTCTTCGACTGCAATGACTGCTCCATTATTAGATAAGCGAATGTTGGAGCGATAAATTTCGTAGTTGGCAAGTCTAAAGCGGTTGGATCGTTTTAGCAGGGTTTTCATAGCAGGATAATAATGTTCCAACGATTTCGCCAAAATTTCTTCGTTTCCACCAACAAATCATTATACTCGATCTTTTCGTGCCATCAATTAAATTAATAAAATTTCTATGGGTAGTCATCTTCAGCAACTATCGTCTCTATGACTCTGCCAGTTGTTACTCCATATCATCTTTGGTTTAGTAGATGTAAACAAGAAAGTAATTTGTTTTTAGAGTATACAGTATGATGATCGTGATTTGAGGCAGCTTTGACTTACTGCCTTTATGGTAAGGCGAGTTACAAAACCATGTAAATTAAAATTCTAATGTAATATATTATATTGCTTCTAGGACTGATTCGCATGTATTATGGAAGCTGTTAGAGAGGGAAGGTATTCTAGGCGATAGGTCATAATATATTAAATTATCACTTTGTGAGATCACAACCCCATTATTACTCATAATATGTTGATTTATTATAACAACCATGCCTTAATTTCTAAACTCAACTATATACATAAACACTATATTTTAAGTAATTGAGAATAAATACTATTGTGTAGTAAATCCTTTTTCTCATTTTATATTATCCCTTTAAGATATTTTCGATTTTTTCTTCCGGTTTTAACTTAACCAATCTTTCACTTTCATCCCAAATCTGTTTACAAAATTCCTTATCTCGCGCTAATCTCGGTTGATAAAACAGTTTGCAATCGACAAAATACTTTCCACTAACTCCATTTAAATCACGAGATAAGGCACAGTTTATTTGAGTTTGTGCTCCTTCGTAAGGCGTCTTAAAACAGAACGGATTAAAAAAGAAACACTTATTTCAAAAACAATTGCTGTGTCTACCATTCCCGGATAAACCGCGTTTGAGGCGATCGAAGTATTTTTAATTTTTCAGCTAAAACATTTGAAGCAATCAATTCACAAAGTTTGCTGTTTCCGTATATCGTGAAATGTGTTTTCATTTCTCCTTTAAAAATGATTGTGTTTTTAAGGGTTTTTAAACTTAAATTGTGATAAAGTGCTTCAATCGAACTGACAAATGTGATTCTGCTTTTGGTTCGTTTAAGTAAATAAATAAAAAATTATATAGAAGGGGAATTTAAAAAAGTTTAACCAATTAACAAATGAGTCAATAAAAAAATGCCCAAAATAATTAATTTGCATATGAATTTGAATTCCGTCTTTAGAGTATGTTAAAGGAAACCCAATTACTCCTGCATTGTTAATTAAAAGGTCTAATCAATCCTCCTCCTCATAAATTTCTTTACAAAACTTTCTGACTGAATCTAAAGATGCGAAATCTAAATATTTTCCTCGTATATTAGGATTATCAGTTTCTGAAATTATTTTTTTTACTGAATCATCGGTATTAGCAACGTCTCCAATTATAAGTTTAGCACCGCATCCTGTTAATGTCATTGCGGTTTGAAAACCAATTCCTAATCAGAAATATACTAATAAAATCAATTAAACAAAGAATCAACTCAAAATTATTAACCAACCTGAATTTCCGCCGATAATATCTAATGAAACCAAAAATAGTTTAGCAGGATGATCATGAATTTAATTTGAATTCAGTTTAGATTTCTATATTACCCATTTCCTTTGTGAATTTGTGGAAAATATAAACCCGAACTTCGACGTATATTATGAATAATTTATGAGAACTCGAAAGCCTAAGGTGAATCGGCTCACGTCTAGATTAGATCCGTGAATTCGTTATCACCTTTGTTAGATGCATTTCGCAGCTTTAAACAAGGAATATCAACTATTTTCCTCACGACCACCCAACAAGGGATAATAAGAAAATAATGCTTTACGATTTTACTTGATGATGTTATTGTTGTAATATTTATAGCGTAATCTAAGAGTTAAAACGGCCGGTTACTTAGAAAAGCACAACTCGCACTCAATTTTCCCCACAAAATTAACATACCGTTATATTCGAAAAGTTTACTTCGCGCTTTGCTAACTCTATTTTACAAATTCCTCGTCGTCGCTGTTCTAATTAAATAGCGGACCGACCGTAAGCAAACTAAAAAGGCAACCGACTAAAACTAATTATGGAACCGAATTCAAGGTAATGATTAAATAAGTTGGATGTCAGTTGAGAGGGTAGGAGACTTTGTTTTTAACTTTAACTTTTCAATTTTTTTTTCTGCTAATTTCCTTTCAGTAATTAGATTTAAAGAGGAGGGAATTCGTTTTTCAGGAAATAACAGTAACGGAAATATCTTTCTCAACTCGGTTTACAACCACCACGTGTGTTACATTCGTAATACGATTCTCTGTTTTACTCCCACAGTCGTTGTCGTAATGTGATTCGTAATTAGTTAATTAATGTCTACCACTGATTAGAGGAACTTCGTTATTCATCACAGGTTCAGGTTTTTATTTTCTAATTTTAGGTTTAAATATCCTCATTTAATGGAAGGCCATGATAGTACCTAGGACAGATTGTTGCACGATTACAATACTTTCCTTTGTATACTTCGCATTTGTGAGTCAAATTACTTCCTTTATTCGTATCATAATGTGATCTAAAACTTATGGTATCACATTACAATTTTATTCTTCAAATATCAACAGTTGAATATACTTATTTTAAAATTTAATGTTTTGCTTAATCTTTTCCTTTTTCCATTTTCTTATAGTTTAGGGTTCTGAAAATGTGCAGAAAATATTAATTTCAAATTCATAAAACTGCTATAGTTACGGAAGTTTAAAAGCTGTGGTGTGTTAGGGTGCGGCAGGTAGTTATCCCCTTGACCGTTGTACCTCGAGTGTTGTGTCCATTGTATACCAGGAAACTTCCCTTGATGGGGAG